TGGTTTAAACAATTTGGAAAAGGTGTACGGAAGCAGTTTCACACTGTGCTGTTTATTCAGGAATATTTACTGCGAACCGTCAAATTCGGTGAATTTCAGTTGCGGCAGATTGATAAATGTGAAATATCTGGAAATCCAGTTGTGGTTTTTCAGTGTTTTTGCAGTTGTGGGAAACATTTTGTGTTTATGGATCATTTTTAAATATTTCAAGGCGTCTAAATATTATCATTTGCTGTTGTATTTCAGTCAGTTGGTGCTTGCTCTGTATTTATTGTTCGTGTCAATTGCGAACGCCTATTACCAGGACAATTACTTTTTATCCGACAAACAATGGACAAGTAGTTCATTTTGCAGAATTCTATCAGTGATGGCGACATTTTCAATAATAGCGTCGCCATTTTGTAAATGTTTGATTTCACTAGAAAGATATTTGGCGGTGTTAAAGCCATTTCAAAAATGGTTTTTATTTAAATTTCCCAGAATGACAATATTTTTCTTGTTTATATTTTCGTTAACAATTTCATATTCAATTGTTCAGATAATCAAGGTCACTTTTTTTCAATTAGCTTTTTCATATTAAAGCTCAGTAATTTTTTTTCTTTAGGAATTCTATAATCAATGTGCTATATGTCTTTATATTCCGATTGGCAATTTATCTGAAAATGTTGAATTGTTGAATTTGCTGAGTTTTGTTTTTTTTTGCATTTATTGTTTTGCTTTTATTTTGGACGTGAAATTAATATTCTACATAAGACATAAAACGATTAAAATGAAGATGCTAACTGCAACAGATTCCAAAAGGACAAGCTTAAAAATAGATTTCACAATATCAACTTTTGTTGATTGTATTATTTGGATTTTTTTCACTATTTTAGGTTTTCATTTTCTCTTCAATTCTGATTGACGTTACGTCAATTTATTAAATATAAAAAACAGGTGTTTTTTCAAAACCACTCAATGTTGTATGGAACAGAAATGTTTATAATATGTATATAACTGGCGTGTTTTCGTTGACTTCTTTTTTGAATGCGTATATTTTTATGATTGGTGAATTTTCAAGAAATCAAAAAAATAAAAAATTGAAAAATTTAGAAGAGAGGTTTGATTTGAAATTGTTGCTTATTTATTATTGTTCTATATTCTCTTTGAAATTTACAGAGAAACTTTAGTTTTGAAATTAAAAAAGGAAACGCTTTTAAATAGTTTTTGTTAAATATTCAATTTTTTACTCAATTTATAGATTTTAAAATATTTTTCAACAGCTTCAAAAACAATTCTAGACTTGAATAGAAATCATTTATGTTTCAATTTGAAATGTTTGAATTTACAGTCAATTGAGCTTTCAAGATTGTTTTTTAAAAAAGAGAATAGTCTATTAATTTGCAGTTTAAATTTGTATTCAGCCATTCATTATGCTCATTCAAGAGATTTTTCATTCAATGGAAATTTTGCTTTAGAAGATGTATTTTATGATAAATTTTCTAAAAAATTCTACCTTTGTATTGGAAATATCTTTGAAAAGAATAAAGACAATTTTCTAGACGATTTACAATCGGCTGCAAACATAATTAGGAAACTACTGCAAAAAAGAACAGTTTTTCAATAAATAAATACTTATAAATATATATATTAATATACAGTATGTAGGCCTATGAAGTAGTCCGCAAAAATATTGGTGCCCCCTAAATTTTGATAGGCCGAACAATAAAAATCTTTTTCACAGGGAAAAAAGATTTTTTTTTTAATTTTTTTTGTCTTAATTACTAGATTAAACATAGATATATATATGAATATCTTCGAAACAAAATTTAGGTAAGTTTTTATATAATTTTTTTGGTTTTATATAATGTATTGTTTTATTGATTTTTTTTCTTATTTGGCTGTGTTGCAAAATAATTGGAGCGGGGGGTTTAATGTTCATATTTTGTCTATTTTTCTATGTAGCCACCCTCTTGTTTAAACACTTGCTCACTCTATGCCCCATTCCCCTGTATAAATTTGGTATCAAGTCTGGTTGTCTTTTTATAATCTCATAAGAGCACTTTTTAATTTTCTTCCATAATTCCTCCTCCGATTCCAATTGTGGACCATCATAAACCAGTTTTTTGGTGAGACCCCACATGTTCTTAATAGGACTGAGGTCAGGGCTCTTTGCTGGCCAATCAAGAGGGTGGATGCCATTCATTTGAAAGGCTCTTTTAGTTGTCCTAGCAGTATGGCACCCAGCATTGTCTTGCTGGAAGATGTACTGCCTCCCCATTTTAGCTGATATTTCTTCTATTACAGGCAGAACATCTTCCACAATAAAACTGCTATAGTTGTTAGCATTAAGTTTCTTCTTTATCCTCCATATCTCAAAGATTCCATCAGATGTTATGAGTCTCCATACCATGACTCCGCCTCTGCCCATATTCTTCATCACCCTGAATTCTTTTTCACCATGATTTGTCCAAGTTTTGAAGTCATCAGGGCCTCTCAGTGAGAATCTAGCCTCATTGGTGAAAATTACTTTAGACCAGTCTAGATTATCACTGATCATCTTAAGGCAATAGGTTTTTCTTCTTTCACAATTGTTGGATGTAAGGTCAGGTCTTTGTCTCACTCATTTATACTGGAATTTTTGTCTTTTCAGCTCCCTTTGAATTGTTGCTAAGCTTACATCAACTTCTAATTCTTTCAAAAGTTTTCGTGCTATAACCCTTTCCTTATTTCTTTTTAATTTCTTTATTATTCTCTTCATCCTGCCTATGTCTTTCTCTGTAAGTCTCTTTGGGCGGCCCCAATTCTCCTGTTCTGGTGGATTATATTGTAGAATATTGCTAACTGATGTTGGTGCCATCCCCAGAACCCTTGCTGTTGTTCTTATTTTTCCAATTTCCTGATATTTCCTTAGTACAAGTTCCCTTATCTCTTTACACCATGTCATAGTTAAATAAATACAATAAAAATGAACTAATATAATTAAAATTGACAATAATAGATAAACTTAACTTGGAGAATTAAATAAGTCAAAAAAATTTTTAGTTTGCAACGTTTTTTCAAATGCCAAACCAGAAATCAAGTGTGTGCACCAATGATTATGCAACGCAGCCAAATACAGAAAAAATTAATGAAAATTAGGCAAAATATTTTACTAATTATATTCCAAAGTATCATCATTTTCTCAATTTTTTCGATATTATGTAAATATTACTGTTTATCTATATAAATTTAGACAAAAAGAACTATTTTCGTGGGAAAAAACATTTTTGACCGTTATTTTAAATTTGGCCTATCAAAATTTAGGGGGCACCAAAATTTATGCGGACTACTGTATATGTTAGGTTGTTTACGGTAAATTAATGACTAAAAGACTGCATTTTTCAAAATGCAATTTCAAACAACTCTCAGTTCAAAAAGTTCATTTGGAATGAGAATGAATTTCCTATGATTGTTTTCTTAATAAATTCTCACTTCAATGCCATTAACGCCATCTATTGTTTTAATTGAGAAAAAATAATAAAATTAATTATTAAATACATGCAATGTGGCAGCTATGAAAAGTTGTCATATGCACTTAAACCTTAAATTTGTTATTTATTTGTTGGAAGTGACTACTTCCGTTAGAAAACTAGGTCAAACGATTTTTATCTTTATTTCAAAGAAATAATAGCTGATAATAGATCGTTCTTATCAAAATCTAATCAGAAATAATTTGAATTTGAAGTTGTAATCTATGCAAATTTTCCAATGGTATGATATGTTGAACTTTATGAGATTTTTTAAAAAAACTTTTAACGTTTGGTGTGATCCACTTGAAAGTATTTTTTTTGGTTGAGTAGGAGAACTATAGGAGATTTTTATCTGTTTGAATGCTTATATATTGTATACGTACATTAAAAAGTAGACACATTGTTAAGAGCAGCATTTTAAAGGATGAAGATTATTATTTGTTACCTTTGTGAGTAGTTTTATTATTATTAAGATATTAATCTATATTTTATTGTTTTATGCTTATAGTGTTTACTTTACAACTATTCTCTCTCTGCCAATCATTTATTTGCCCAGTTGATGATAATTTTCGACCAATCAACGGAGCTTATAGGGATCCAGAATTCTGTGGATCTTATTATCAATGTATCAACGGAACTGCTTTTCCTCAGAGTTGTCCTCTTGGTCTATTTTTTAGATTTACAACATTAGATTGTTCATTTACGACCTGTGTTGATCCAGAATTTGCCGATTGTCCACCACTGCAAAATTCAACTATTCAAACAAATGAAGCTTTGCAGTGTGAACCTAATCAAAAAGATTTTAGCACTCCTTGTTTCGTTAAAACCAATGAATGCGCACCAAATTTAAATTCAACTGTTGCCAGCTTAATTGATTGCAGAATTTACTACCATTGTCAAAATGGGGTTGCTTGGCCTCAGCAGTGTCCTCCAGGCTACTTTTTC